GGTGGCAAGTCCAGAACGGTCACAGACTTGCTGTGGTGGTATAGTCTATGTCGTAATTCATCCATATTTTGTATAGTATGGTCACCATGTTTCACGACCTGTACCAGACATAGTTCCGATTCAGCTAGACACAAATTGTCCGAGTTCTTCCCGAAGTCCTTGAGGTGTGCTATTGGGTTCGCTTTGAGCGCTGCCAATTTGGTGCCAAATTTGCTTGTGATGTCACATCCAGTCAACGCATGAACGACCGGCAGTACATCACATAATTCACGCCCCTGCTTTGCTGCCAATACATGTACTGGGATGTAACTGATACTGTCCCCTACACCACCTATACAGGAAACAGTATCAGGTACATCCCAGTACATGTATTGGCAATTTGGCAGCAAAGCAGGGGCGTGAATTATGTGATGTACTGCCGGCCGTTCATGCGTTGACTGGATGTGACATCACAAGCAAATTTGACACCAAATTGGCAGCGCTAAAAGCGAACCCAATAGCGCACCTCAAGGACTTCGGGAAGAACTTGGACAATTTGTGTCTAGCTGAATCGGAATTATATCTGGTACAGGTCGTGAAACATGATGACCATACTATACAAAATATGGATGAATTATGACATAGTCTATACCACCACAGCAAGTCTGTGACCGTTCTGGACTTGCCACCGACTAGCCACGCAGCTACAGGACATATTCTCAGAACCTTTTACTCCACCTATAGTCAGATTAACTGTTTGAGTGCCCTTACTCTGGAACCTACAGACTTTGGATTCGAATTATCAGATGGCTTGCTTGTTCCAGGTAGGTTCCATCTACCTTTGCCAGACGATGTTGCAGTTGTGTGTTTCTGTGTGAAGTGTTCTACAGCAAGGTGCGTGTGTCAACAAAATGGTGCCAAGTGTTGCGAATTTTGCAAATGCCAGACCGAACAAGTCAATGACTGCAGAAACCCAATTGGTATCCTAAGGACACAGTGATCAGTATTAAAGTTACCTTACCAATAATATCCTGTATACTCTAAATGCTGCTAGTATTATAGCGATATGTGAAAAGTTGTCAATAAATGACCGTCATATTTGGTGGCCATCTTAGCTTTGATGGTGATGCAGTGCGTTTTTAATCTGGTTATTAGTGTCAGTGGATAACCTGACCCCTAAAACATAGGGATAGACACGAAAATTACCCTTCTATCATAAGTCTGCGAGAAGTTATAGCAGTTTATATGATACGGTATCCCTTTCGGCGGCCATCTTAGATTTAACAATGATGCAATGCATTTTCGGTACGCGTATCAGTTTTAATGGATAGCCTGACCCATCAAATATAGGGATAGACACCAAAATCAACCTCCTATCATAAATAGGTGGCGAGTTATGGTCAATTACATGAATTGACGGCCATCTTGAACGCCATCTTGAATTTCACCTATCCTTCCCATGATTCAGAATGTCTACCCAAGTTTTTTTTACTCCCAGGAGTGTCCCCTACATGAATCAAGCGTCAAACTGCGGGGACACAGGACTTCCCTCAGCTGATAGATTAGCTTGATTTCATGAAATATACATAAACAGAAAAATACGGTTGAGAAATATTCACTGCTGGCCACTGAAGTATACCATTTTTGCTTATGGCAATATCATGCTGAATAATTTTGCTAATAAAAAATTCAAATTGTCTGTATTTTACCTTATTTTCCATAATTCCTTCACCCGATCCCGTCCACCTTTATTAAAAACACAAGGGAAAGTCAAAAAATTTAAGAAGCTAAGAAAGGATGCAGTTCAATCTCTGATAGAGGTCAGTAACCCTCCTGCACTCCGAACCTAGAAACAAGCAGAATCGTAAATTGCTGAAGCTCCAGCACTTGTGATTAAGCTTCTTAGCAATAAATGTGATTAATGGTATTTGAGTAAAAAATATGGAAATTATATCGTCTTTATTATTATTATTGTTTGTAGAAAGAACAAAC